ATTTCCACGGACGTAAGGAATTCTAAACTCCAGTTTCTGCCTGCACATCTCAAGAAGAAGATAGTTGGTTTTTCTGGCTTGGGATGGGCTGTTCAGTAACGAGGTCTTGTTCTTAGCCTTGGCATTAAAGAGCCTTATCAATGAGGTATCCCAGTTAACTGAATTGAAGGTGGAAATATTATCACCTGCTATTAAAATGTAACTTCTCATATTCTGACAGAGACATAATAAGCATTTTGAGAGTTTTCTAACACATTGCCATTCATTTCCCCACACTGGATCTGTAGATTGAAAAGAACACAAAAAAGGAACCCTCAAACATATGCCAATAACACATGCATATTTATGCAGCCAGCAGTTCCCTTGTTTAAGAAGAATACTCAAAGAATTAAATTTCATAATTTTCTGAAATAGCAAGGACATTTAAAGAGCATCTGTGGATTAGTCTGAGTAAGTTTATTCTGTGAATTGGTTGAAAAGAAAACAGACTCTTCCTAGGTATTGCAACAAATTGTTCCCAGCACTTCAGCTTAACACAGTAAATGAAAATTCAGAGGAAGCAGCACAATATTGGATGAACCTGCTTCAGAACATTGGCTCAGGCCACAAAGCAAGTAATTAACAAGCTGAATGAAGCATTTAAGCCCACGCCTTATCATTTATGTAACTAACCTTTGAGTTTTGGACGCACTGGTATGCTGCAGTGAAGCCTACACAGTGTTTCTTTTATGTGTGTGTATTGAGCAAATGGGAAATGCATACCCTGCCATTTGTTTTTCACATTTTCAGCACTTATCAGAGTTCTCTGGCTGAGTGATCTTATATTGCAAAAATGTACGCCTCTTGGGCCTTTTTTCTGTAGTGCAGTATGAATCTAGACAAGTCTCAGCCTTGTTGTGTGTGGGGGGTGTATTCTACTTTTAAGGGTGCTTTTGAGCTTGTTTAAAGCATTATTAGTAGCACTAGAAAAGAATTAATTGAATGCCACTTTTCACCAAAGAAGTGAGCAACAAAAATAGTGATGGGGATTCTGAAAAATCCTTGTTTGTGGAGGCAGCCTTCAAAAACAGCTTTGAAAACAAATCAGGAAGGCTGTGAAGCAATGAGGTCTCAAAAGATCTAGTGTCCATCCTTGTCACACATCTGTTTTTCCCATCCTGAGAAATACTGGGCATGTTAGGAATGATGAGACTGCTGCTGACAACATTAGTTTCCTACAGAGCTCGTGAGATAGAAGAGGAATGTAACATCACCTCTGCACTTGGGAAATGAGTCATTTTGCTTATTAATGCTCTCACTTTTGTCTCTCTCTCCTGCTCTTTTCCCCATCACTTTATAACCAGACTTATTTGGAACTCTTGTGAGACAAATACCATTTCTCCTTGGCGGGAGGAAAATAAAATAGCATACTTAACATGGTTATATAACACACTGCTATGCATGCCTAAAATGAGGTCATTTCGATTAATATATTTATCTGGTGTGCAGCTGTAACAGGACATGTAATTGTGATTAAAAGACCACCGTTTTTAGTCTCTTTGCAATGGCCTTTGGTTTTTGTAACTAATATCCCTGAACCTGATGGGAGTTAGTTGCTGGTTATGTCATTATGTTGCTAGGACCTGGGCTATGGTCCTAGCCTTCCAAACCTCAGAAAATTAGTGTGGAAACAAAGTTTCCTCTCTTCTTTCCTATGTCAGAAGTTAGGTAAGAATTCTGCACTAATTATGTTTATTAGAAGTAATCCAGTGACATAGGCATGGAAAGAGCAAAGAGAATGGGGCAAACTGGAATTCCTTAAAGTAGGAAATGTTGCTGGATGATGGAGAAAGTAACAAGATGAGATGAGTGATAAAGCCAGTTACAGTGAGCCAGGAGAAAAAGTGGAGCAGCATGCTGCAAATGTCTCTAGTATCATCTGTGGGAAAGAGAGAACCGGTAGAATCTGCTTTTGGAATACAAGCAGATGTATTTTTCTTTTGGGATGTTGAACTGCCATTCTTCAAAGTTCTGACGCATCCGGTTCTATTTCGGTTTGATGACTCCTAACGAGACACGTTAGGCGGCTGCTGCTCAGAAGCCAGCATTTAAAAACACTGTTTTTCTGTTCCACTCTTTCTGGCAAAAAGCTCGTTATTCAAGTACTTGCTCTAACCTTTAGTTACCCTGGTTGCATAACTGGAAAGCAGCATCCCACCATGCACTTCTGTGACCCAGTTGTGCCTTTCCAGTAGTGACTTTATGAGTTATGAAAGGTGTGTCTGCCACATTGCTACAGAAGCATTTACTCTACTGACCCTGATTTCCTGAATATTATATAGTCATTGTTCACTAAGGAGTAAAAACAATGTAAAAGCGTGTGGAAAAAAACCCTCATTCCGCTATGTTGAAAATCCCTGTGTTACGCTCTTTAGCCTTGATAGTGTTCGGACTTCTCATTGATAAAAAAAAAAAAAAAAATTGTAGAACCAATTTTAAAATCATTAATGCTTCAGTAATGTTTCAAAATGAATTTTAGATGGTACATTCAGTACTAATAGTCACAGTACAAATCATTGACTCATCCAAGGAAGAGCCTGAATAACAATTGCTTTGTTGAACTGATTTGCAGTCTAAATTGTGATGTGCAGCTTTCACATTTTCTAGACTGTCTGCAGACTTGCTAAAATCCTTCCACATTATCGTATCATCTATTACCCTGTATTCCACTCATGATAAAACCTCCCTGTGGATGAGAATGAATTTCTCATGTCTCATAGAGAAAACTGTTTATTGCTAGCATTACTTCTACAAAATCTTTCTGTAGCTCATAGAAAACACAAAAGAGACATGTGCTTGTTTTTTTTGCCATCACATAATACAGCATAAGTCAGTTATATAAATAAAGTCCCTTACATAAATAGCTTAATTCTACTTTCATTTATATGGAATTATAAATCAAGAGCAGATCTACTGAAACAAATGTTACACTAGCATAAAACAGGTATTGACAGCATGTGTATACTTTCATTATATAGATTCTTCCAGCCAGTGATTTTTGGGCCTTAGCAACTTGAAAATGATCCTGTCCTGAGAAGTAAACTACTTAGTATGTGTCAGCTGAAGGCTGGTCTTCATAGCAAAGCTTGCCCTTTCCATCAGTTTTCTAGTAGCCTCTGTATATTAATTTTTGGTATCAATATACAATTTATCTGTGCGGTTAAAATGTAACATTACTCTTGTCTAGTAAGCATGAAGTAGCCAGTTCTTCTGTTGTGTAGGTTTTAGAGAGCTTGGTATTGATGATTGGTGACTGATGATAAAAGCCTGTTTGAAAATCAGGAAGACCTTTAAAAACCCATCCTAGCCCTACAATATTTAGTAAAGCAGATTCTAGTATTCTTTCATCTGTACATGTGGCCAAGAGGCTGAGAGATGGCATTCCTTACCTGGTGCTTGGTTGTGAGTAGCATGGAGCAATGACCAGGCAATCCATGGTTCCTACAGTAGAGGCTAAAGAACTGTTGAAATTAAGAAGTCAGCACCTCTTTTGAAGTTAAAAACTGTTGCCATTATGCCTTTCACCCAGTCACACAGAGAACCACGGCACTTTAAGAGAAGTTCCAGGATTTTGTGGCATCTCATTTACAGAATACAAGCATGTTACTGACAGCATTTGGAAGCAGTGGCAGGTCCCATGTCCCTTTGCCCAGTAGGGCACAGGGTCCTGATCCCATGCACAGCAAAGTCCGCACAGGCTCTTGTGTCAAGGAGCTGGGAACAAAGGCTGACTGGAAGCAGTGGCTTTCCTTTAACTGCTTTACAGGATAGAAATAATCCAAAATTGCTAATGATCATTTTAATATGAAGCATTATGTAAGTGTGGATGACTTTAGCATATTTCAAATACCATTTGAATCAATCTGTGTAGGTACAGTTATAAAACGAGGACATAGTGAGAAAGTAGTTGGGAAATATTTTGCTATCCTATATTTGGATTAAATTCTGTTTCATATTGCATCTAACCCCCTTTTTTTAATAACCACTCTTAAAGCTTTCAAAACTAAAGTTATGACTTAGAAACAATAGTTTAAATCAACATGCTCCAAGTAAAAGGTCCAGTTTTGGCTGTTTACTATTTCCTGATGAAAATGCACTTCAACCAAAACTTGATCTGATCAGACACAAATATATTTTGTTATAGATAACAGGGGCCTTGACATAATGAGTTGTAGGCTCACCTTAGCCTATGCCCTGGATTCTAAACTAAATGCAGAGCCTGAACAAGCTTACATAAGCAGCCAGGAAGGCAACCTCTGACCCCAGCAGTGGCTGGGGCTTAGGCAGCAAGTCACAAGCATGCTACAACTTGCTTAAATGATAAGGCAAATGAAACACTCCATACATATATAAAACTTGCAAAAAATGTTCAAATCTTCATTTTTTTGTAGAATAAACTCTTAGTATTAGGTTTATGAATAAAGGTGTTCTCTAGCATTGTCTGTGAAGTTGAGTTTGGGAGCCCTATGGAATTTCTCAAGTGGTCATCACTGAAAAGAGTTCTTTCACCACCACACAGACACAGCTCAGATGTGGCTGGGATGCACTCGTGCCTGAGACAGTAAATGAAAAGGTATCCTGGTCACAGGTTTAAAGCACGGCAACCTGTAAAGCAAATAGTAATGCAGCAGAGGAACCAAAGCCCACAGAAGTGCAGGGTAGTGCAGTAAACCAGGCCTTCTCCAGCTCCCATCCTTTTTACTTTACCACAGCAACAAAGGAAGAGAGAAGGGGAAACAAAACCAAGACCAAAACCTCCCCAAAAAAACAGCAGCACCTGCTGTCCTCTTTCACAACATCTGAACAGCTTAATCTCTATGGTTTGGCTTCTTGACTTCAAGTGTTGTTGTGTGACTGCAGGATACAGGAGTTGTTCTTTATTCCTTTATCTAAAACACCTGCAAAAAGCAGCTCCTGTGTAATATTTGTTTGCCTCTGTAGTTGTTATGCAAGCCAAAGAGTAAAGAAGACAAAAATTTTAATTAGGAAACAACTCTCCACACAGACTTTGTTGGTACAACATAGTTATAAGTACATCTACAAACATACAGGTTCTTTGGACTATGATTTTTTTTAAAATATATTTTATATGACAATGCAAACAAATCTGGAAAAAAACAAATTACTTCAAACTTATGTAGAGGTAGCTGAACACTATTCTGTCCAGTGATATGAGAGTATAACTTAAGTTTCATTTCAAGTTCATTACAGTGCACAAAAGGATGTTTTACAAACAAATGGAATATACAAGTCCACAAAACATTTTATTTAAAATGGCTTGATAGATATATTTCTGGCACTCTTGTAACCACATAGCTTGATGGAATTAAATTGGACAAGTATATGGTTCCAAATTAAGACATCTTACACAGATAGTCTTTTGCTCCTCATTTTTGTACTTCTCCCGTTCCTTATCAGGGAATTATAGAAGCTATTACATTGTTTTTGCTACACTTCTGCTCTGTAAACCTTTGTTCTGCAAACTGAATGTAAAGATTAAAAGCTGCATATGTTTTATATTTATAAAATATATGGCTATGACTATTAAAAAGCTCAAGAATGGCAATAACAGAATACAGGCACTTCTATGTGAGGGTTACTTTAGACCTTATGAAAATCCAACATCAGTAAGCACTTCACATGATACCTGGATGAGTAAGTCAATGTAATAGTTCAGGCTTTTGTTATCCACCATTTTAATTCTGCCTAAGCAGATTAGTTTCTTTCTTCTTTCAGACAATATTTATTTAGTAAAGTGTTTCAAGAGAGTGACTTTCTTCAAACTACCATTTTGCTATTGCCATAAGACTTCCAGTGATTTACTGGGCTTTGGAAATGAACCCCAGCTCCTAAACTACATGCTGCACTGTTACAGATTCAGTTGAGAATTAAATGAGAATTAAGCAGGGGTTGAAGAGAGGGATTGTGTTCATCTGATGTCAGACTTGGGGGAAATGGGGAGCACTACCCTAAGTGCATATAGGTCCATGGGGTTTTTATGCACAAAAACCCTATAGTTAATTTTAACTTTCTTTTTAAAATAAGTGTTTGTGAACATGTTCTCCATTCCTAAACATTGCATTTAAATACAACTCCTGTCACTGATTTAAACACCAGTAAAACTTCAGCACCAAGTAGAAATCATTAAAAAGAAAAATTTTCACAATGAGAACAATCAGCCATTGGAGTAATCTTCCCAGGGAAATGTTGGATTTCCCAACATTGGACACTTGTAAGATTTAGCTGGATAGCCTGCTGGACCACCTTGTCTTGACCATGCTTTTGCCAAAAAAAGTTGGGCCAGCTGATCCTTGAGGTCTCTTCCAACCTGGGATTCTATGATTCTGTGAAAAGACCATCTAAACCAGAACTCAACTCTAGGAAGCTCTTTCTCTACAGCACAGATTAAGACAGACCTGCTACATCCAAATCCACTTGTTTTTTTTTTAGATTAAAACAATCTCTGTATTAATAAATCCATGGTTGAGGTGCTCTGTCAGTGAGCAGTCATGCAGGACGGGCGAGCCACACGTCTGACAGCTGCCATCTCTTATTGCTACATCGTCATGGAAGATAGCAGCACTTAGAGTAATTACACACCAAAAGCAAGAGGAACTTTTACAGCTAACACCAAAATGCCACTTAAGACTTAGCATAAAGGCCTATCACACCATTTTATCATTTCATTATGACAACTACTGAACTACTGTCTAAGCAGCCTATGCATTACCTATGCCCCCACAATGACTATTCAATACTTCTGACCACACAGGAAATGCAAGTTTGAATCATGATTTGATTTGTTCAGCTTTTTGTTTTTAGCAGATGAGCAAGACTGGTTATAAAACTGGGTTTGGTGTCTAGAAAAATGTGAGCAGCTTAAATAAAATATTCCCCCAATTAGTGTTGTATCTGATCAATGCTATTTCTATAATTAAACTGAAGGTATTTTTAAATCTGTTCAGCTGTTTATTCATGCCTGTGATAAATGTTGCATTTGCATCCTTGCACTTATTTATGCAACTGAAAAAAATCAGTGGTAGTGTGGCAAACCTAGATTTTTTTTTAATTTTAAGCATCATTACTGAAACTTTACCATCTCAACATAACGAAGGCTAAGGATACTGCTTGTCCAGTTTTTCCTGGACAGCATATATCTTTCTCAGTATTGATTTTAATTTCTAATGGAATTTGCAGACTTTAGCCATTAATCTAGGACATATGGCCATAGAGCAGCCCCAGCAAGAATACTACTATACCTGTACAGATGGAATTTTGATTTGTTGTGCATATGCAGATCACCTGTGCAGTAGGTCCAGTGTTTCCAGACTGCAACAAATGCCCTGGGTGTTCACAATGCAGGGCATGTACACAAGTCTCTGCTTGGAAATTCTGGCAGCTTTACTCAAGGCTAACAGAAAAGACAATATTCATCTTTAAAATCAAGGATTCTTTCCATGACATCTTTTCTAAAACAACAAATTAGGCAGAATCAGTATGTAGGAGACATAGCATGCAGGATAAAAAAGTAATTACATCAGTGAGAAAACAGTTTAAATTAGGTATTTAAGTTCCTTTTCTCACAGATAAGAGTAACAACAGTGGAAGCTTTTTTTCCTGTGGGAGCAATACGAGACACTTATGCTCTGCAACAGTACATAATGGTTTGTGGAAGAATTGCATTTAATGCAGCTTCACTTCCAAACAAGTAGAAATCACTTTGCTGACTTATGAACACAAAATGCCATAGCAGGTGTCAGCCACCATCACTTGGTACTGCTCAGAACATGTAGGTGTTTTTATACATTGTTTTCAGCATGCCAAATACCACTCCTGGAGGAAGTGCAGCAATCCAGCAGTATGGAAGGAAGTTACTGCATTTCCAAAGTAGCTCAATGCAAACAGGATACAGATTCCATGTGCACCACAAGGGTGAAACATGTTTGTCTTCCATTTGTTTCTTTGGTACCCTTATAAAAGACATCAACAGAATTTAACAAAAGGGGAACAAAGGTAGCTTTATGGAAACTACTTTTCTAACAAATATTTCTGATGAGATAATGGAAAAACACACAGAAAAATTACATTAAATTCTACTGCATTTTTTTTTTCATAAAGGCATGACATGGCAGTGCTATCCTGCATTAAAAAAAAACCAAAGAAATTTATAGCATTCCATAACATTCTCACTTCATTCTAGTTTGTGCCACTGAAAAGGAGAACAGTAGCTTAGAATAAAAGGCCCAGTTTTGCTCACATTGAAATCAGTGAAAGACAAAATCAGATGGAGGGAGCAGTCCCAGAAAGTGGTACACTGTAAGCAATACAAGCAGTAAAACAAGTATATGAACTGTTGATTTAAAAAAAAATCAAAACCAAGATACTTCCTGTTCTCATTTCTGCCCTATTTTTACCTGCTTTAGAGCTAGAAGTAATCACGCTAAAATTCACTTGCCTTCCTTGGGAGATAACTATTATTAGCAACACTACCCAATCTCTTAAGAGAAAAGCAATGGCTGGGTAGAAATTTGAAGCTAACAGAAACCTGAAGATTGGAGTGAAATAAATAGCATTTATTACAATATATTCCTTCTTATGTGACACAATCTACTCTGAGTCCTACAGTTCAAAATAACTCCCCCCTCCCCCTCCCATACACACACTCCAAAGCCAAATCCCACCAAACAATTAAAAGAAATAAAACTCATCTTAACAGCAACAAGAGTTGATGGGAAAAAAAAAAATCTATGTATTAACCTACAATGAAATGACACCAGTACTTCCAGTTTTCTCTAGGATAAGCCACTTTCCATATATTGCAGCTCTTTCTTCCCAGTTGTTTGTAGCCATTGTCCATTTTTGCAAGAAAGAGTTCAGATATAAATTCAACTTCAAGTTATTCTGTTCTGTGAAATATTAGGGGTTAGATCCTTCTGTCACCACTGATATCAACCATCAGCACTTGAATTTACCCAAGCACATAAACTCATGCTTAAGCAGGTGCTTGGCTGGTTGTATCAGAAACCTCGCCACAAGCATAGGATGAACCTTCAACAGCTGTGCTTGAATTAACTCAGACAATCTGTGTATTCAAAGACTTCAAGGCAGGATGTTTTGGGGGTGTTCTTAAGCTACAGCAGAACTGGGGATGAGTAGAAAAACATTCAAAGTATTTGAACACAAATAACTGAAAAATTATCAAAGCAGTTGCTTTTGCACTGCAAGAATCATCCTTTTTGCCCCCAGTCATAAATACAGGGTAAAACCACTATAAATAGAGCAGCTCACTTTCCTTTAGTGAATGAACACATAAATAATATACATTTTGAAACAAAAAAAATCATAGTGCAAAAATAAATTATCAAACAGAAGTTGTGAACATTATTTTACACAATGCTATATAAAACCTGAACCATTTGAATAAAAGACTTTGCAGTTCACTGAAATAACATGTTAACCTTATTATTTCTGCTTCACATTAAACTGCACAGTTTATCCTTTATCCACTAAAAAATAAAAATAAAATAAATTAAAAAACCCTTAAGATTTTTAAAAGGTTTATGGCAAACAAGATCACTTTTTGTTCTATCACATTTGTTATTAATTTAGCAGTGCAGTGATTGAATACTCGTCTCAGTTCCAAACGGAAACTATTGAAGTATCCATAAACATCCCCTGCTCTTTATAAGTTATTCTCTTTGAAATTCAGGCTTGAAACATCCTGACACTCAGATCTGTAAGACATTATTGCAGTTAGATGAAGGTACAAGAGGCAGTCAAGGACTGCGGGAGCCGCCGCAGCTCTGCTCCTCACTATCACCGCGCCCTGGCCCGCGACATGAACGCCAGGACGCGTCTGATGCCGCTCAGGCGGTCCTTGAGCGACTTCATGGCCAGGAAGGGCAGCTGAGCTCTGTTCTCAAGGGGGAGGACAGCCAGGACCCACCAGCACCAGGCTGGCCCATTGGGGTTTGCCTGCAGTTGGGGGAAAAAAAATAAATTAGAAGTCAGGATTCATACAGCTGGTCAGGTCCTGGTTTTGAGGATTTAGCTCTCAAAATAGTTTTTTTATAGCAATGTAGCAAGCAGATAATTTCATTGCCAGCCTAATGGCTTGTGATTATTGGTTGGCCTGAAGCAGGTTACAAACAAGTGGCATCTTTCCTAAAAATAGGATGTTAAAGGCATTTCTATTACTAGCAATTGTTAGTTACTACTACCAATTAATAAATTACTAATTATATAAGCTGTAAGTTACTAGTACAACTTATAAATTGTTTGCTATAAATTTATAGCTAACAATTTATAAATTGTTAGTTACTATTAACAATTTATAGTCTGGGCCTTCTAGATTTTTTAAAATCTATTTTCTTCACATGTTATTACTGACCCAGATCTTCGGGATTCCTTCTCCATACTTTATGACACTGCCTCAAAACTTAGCACTTGTTGTTATATTCTGTTATTTTAGGACCCCACCATTTGCAGTCCTTTAACAAAAGTAAAAAGTTTCCAGTTGCCTGTCTACTCTCAGTCATTTAATTGGGGAAGTAGAGGAGCAAAAAGGCCATTCAGTCTCCTGGGATTAATGTAGTGAGATAAATAGTCTCCAAAAGTTACCAACATTAAATATAAACTTTTTCTTTGCAACTGTGCTACCACTGGTGTGTGGCAACAGAATTTAGAAGCTCAGCTTACATGGGGTAAATGCAGAGTATTCATATTTTCATCTTAAAACACAATGCCTGCCAGCTTATCGGATATCCCTGCTATTTCTGTCTCTAAAAGTTACATAAGCCACTGATTCTGGATACCTGTGGGTCAGGATCCTTAGCTGGCATTGGACCAAAATGACTGAGAATTCTACTTTTGAGTGCTTGCTTGAGGGAGTTAAACCACGTATAGGCCTGATCATAGACAGAGTCATGGAGAATAAGTAATGCAGCATACTCTTGTCCTTGCACCTGCAACGAGAAATGAGAGAGGAAGGTCACTGTTAGTTCAGTCTGCATGTTGGGGAAGGCATAGGATTTTCAGGATTTTCAGGGGTGGGCAGGGGAAAGGAAAAGAGAAAAAAAGTATGCCAAAAGAATTGTGGAATAGTGACAGTTTATTTGGTGTTTCCCCTTCTGATGACCCTCCCCTATCCAAATTCTTCACTTTGCCTGTATTCTAAATCAAAAATACCTATTTGTAGAATCTGCAGTTTCTGGATTGTTGCATGAAAAAGCCTTTACACAAATATTGCACAAAAACAGGAAAAAAAGATTGTGCAAAGCTTTTTTTAAAAAAATATCAGTAGAGCCTCAGGGTAGATATTTTATTGTCCCTTTACATACCAAAAGCTCTTAAGAATTAATGCAAGCAATTTTGAAGGTTGTGGTGCACCCAATCCTGCTGCTTCTTACCCGAGTGGGGATTTTTAAACTGTCTTCCATACAAATGGTATAATGTTCCCCTTCCACCCTCTTATGAACTGCAGTTATTCTGCCTAGAAGAGCAGCAAGATCTCATCCTGGATTCACTTAGTCTGGTCCTCTGATAAAGACCAGAAACACTCTACAGTACATGGGCAGTGTGTGTGCATGCTTGTGTAGCTAGTATGTGTCCCACCTTAACCACAAGCAGTTATTTAATACTACAAATTTATTAGAAACTTCTACCAAAAAAACTCACTAAAAATATGCTTAGAACATGCTTCTACGGAAAAAAGCTCACTAAATACATGCATAGAATTTCACATGTAATACAATTTAAATTAAATATTTCTAAATCTACCTTTTGATCCTCAATGTACTCAATATCTGCTGTATTATATCCATCACGCTGGCTGTGCTGGATCACCTTAAATCTCCTCTTGCCAATGCTGTCTACAACAGAGCGACCATCAGCAAAGAATTCAACATTTCTTATCTCCAGAATGCAGCCATAATCTGCAAACCTATTGAAATCAGAACAAAAGCAAGTAAACAAATCTTATTCTCTCCACCCTGAGTTCCACAGAGCTGCCATACAGCCAGTCCCTACCACAAAGGTATTTACCAATGTCAGCTCATTTCTATTGTTTGTAGCACTGACCTGCTGTAGTTCAAATTATTCCACAATTGTTTGCAAAACTATCAGGAAGATTCAGACTGTCTAATCTGATTAATGCTAACTGGATGTTTTGGAATACAGGAAGCATCTTATGAAACAGAAAGATAAACAGATCAGAAGCAAACTTTCTCCATAATCCTAATATGTTCAGAGAAAGACAAGTGCAATTCAGAATATGAACATTATGGAGGGACTAGGAAATCTATGACGAAAAAAGTTTTTGCACAATTTCAGCAGATTTTACTTTGCAGGTGGGTATTTTCTGCAAATCATACTTTTCACAGACTATGCATACCCATAAGTTTGTAACATAAAAAGAAGGAAGAAAAGCTAAACAGAGAGTCAAACATTGAAGTCAAATTACATAAGACTGACTGTAAATGGCTCAATGTAAATGCTCAGCCAGTCCTTGTGAAGGTCCTGTTATACCTCTGCAGCTTCCACTATAATTATATAAAGGATATAAACATATCCCATGATTTAATGAAATTTAGCCCAAGAAGATACCTTACTACCATTTCGATTTCTTGTGCCAAAACAACAGATTTAAAAGCAGGAGAAAAATACATTTTCTTTTCATGTATTACAGGAGGTCTGCAGCTCAGTCACATGTTACACACATTCAGTTATGAGTGTTTTGAGAGAACAGATCATCACATCAGAATCCAAGTGCTCAAGAGAGAAACTTCTGTTTTCTCAATGCCTTTAACCTGCATGATCAGGAAGAAACTTTCTCTGCAGGAAAACTACCACAGGTGCTACAGCCATGGACCATTCTGCACCTCTCCACTGGCTCCAGACTAAGTGGGTACCCCACGTGGTCCAAACTCTTCACTCACCCCTTGACAGGGTCGCTGATGCACATCCCAAACTGTTTGGTGCCAGTCTCCATGCACCTCCGGATCATCAGCCGGTAGCAGGGCTCAAAGATGTGCAAAGGACATGGGACTGTAGGATAAGCCATTGTGCACACAAATATGGGAACATTCTTATTTAGGCTGTAAGAAGGAAGGGAAAAATCAGATATGACATTTTACCAAACTACTGAGACAAGTCTCATATTGTTTAAAATTATGACATCTGTAAATAGAAATTATAGCATCTTTAGAATAAAGTTCTTAATGGAATAAAGAAAGCTAAAAGTATTGTTAAAAGCTTAATTCTATTCTTACTGGAATGATAAAAGCTAAAATTATTTTCCCCTTAACTGACTAAATAATCTAGAAAATTATATACCACTTAGTAGCAGATAATTTTTTCATTAAGATGTCTGGATTTGCTTGTGAAAGCATTACTGGCTCTCTAGCATTGCTTTATTTATTTTATTTCCCCTAATCCCATTTCTTCCCTATCCAGTATATTCCAAACCCCATCCTGTCAGACTACTTCTCACTGTGTCTTTCATAGAAGTCCACTGAAAGCAGATGCATTGCTTTGTACTTTGTTTATAAAGCAACCTTCTGGATTTCTTCTACCTCTCCTTATTCTTTAGCAGTGTCTAGTTTTTATGCTCACTCAAGCACAGTTTCCCCTGGACCCTGTGCTCTGAAATCACATGGTACAGAGAAAGAAGCTCCATCAGCATCTCAGCTCGTGCTCCACAGCAGCCAGAGCCACTCACAGCCAACAGCAGCAGAATTAGAGATGGGACTTTACATAAATGGATTACGTACTTGGAAAGCTCTGCTATTTCCTCTTCATAAATCTTTCTCCTTTCAGTGAGTTCTTCAGGAAGATATCTGGCTATTAGCTCCTCCATTAGCACTGTTTTACAGTATTTCCTCATAGCCAAGCACTGCAGTGAGAACACACACAAGCTGTTAGAGAGAACATCCAGCACTGCACAGAGCATGGTGCCTGTGCAAAGGGCATCACCCATTTCCCCCATTTTCTGATGTCTGTGATTCTATCATCTGTCAAACATGCCACTGAAGAGCTGTTTTTTTAATTATTCCCTGTGTTACAGACATTCACTTAGGAAATCTGGAAAGCAAAAATCACCTACGGATTTCTTAAGTACAGGCCTGGTCCTAAGGCTTGAACAGAGACTAACCATGCTTGGCAGCTCACAAGAGCATTTTAAAAGTCACATTCTTCCTGAGTTATGTAATATTTCCTTTGTGTTGGGAAATATCAAGGCTATCTGAAGGTGAAGTGGTTCCTATCACTTGCACTTGAACTTATGCTGAAAAAATCCAAGTATTACCTCTGAGAGCCCTTCCTTGCACAGGGGACATTTTGGGTTGTGATCCAGGCATCTCTCCAGACATTTGAGACAAAAGGTGTGTCCACAAGGTGTAGTGACAGGTTCATAGAAGAGCCTGGATTGGAAAATCCAAAAGCAAAAAGACAACAATATCGTGTACTAAAGTAAAAGAAAAAAGCTGCTACTAAAAAAAACAAGAGATGAATTCATTCACTAACTTAATGACTGACTACTACAGGGGTAAAGTTGCTTCTTGTTTTTCATTTCTTCAACCAACTTTTGTATTTATTCAGCCTAAAAACCCTTTGTTCTTGCCAGCCAACATGAAAGGCAGCCCATAAACTGACTTCAGTGTGTGAGGGACAATATTGTCACAAGCTTCGAACAAGCCAGCATTATCTGTGAGCAATAAACAGACCCAGAAGTTGGATCATCTGACTTCACTAATGAAATTGAGCAATACTTGCACAACTATTAATGAATTTTTGTGATTACTTGTATGTGTGAAGCTAAGCACAAAATACCTATTTACAGTAATAGTCCACATGAGTAATTACAATAAACTGGGACTGGACATGATTCTATTATTGCCAGTTCTAATAGGTATTTTCTTTTTTATAGAGTTTTTAACCTTCAAGGACTGTTTTTCTGGAAAATGAGTGACAAGAGGTTCATGTTTTATCTGAAAGAATATTTACATATATAAGACCAGGTCTTCAAAGTATCATGGTACCTATTCTTTACCCATTTCAAGGACCACTATGACACTTATTTTCATGTAAAGATTTTTTTTCTTATTATGATAATGTAATATTGCAAAGTCATGTTTCCTTGTCAATAAAGACCTTAAGGAGATGTAAATAATACAGAAGTTTATTAAAAATAGAAAAAATTAAAATCTAGAAACTAAATTGTCTGGAATGTGCTGTATTTTATAACCTACTGTCTAAACATTTTAAGGTCTTCAATACTAGTCTTATAATTTAAGTGAATTAATAATTTTTCTTAAAAGTATTAGTTTATCAAAACAGTACACTATGTTTTGTTAAACATGTGGAAATTAAAATACGTAAACCCACGTTTACTAGCATCTGTAACAAGATAAGTGTATTTAAGAATGCAATTGGCATCTAACAAGACTGCCATAGAGAACACATTAAATGTCATTAGTTACTAAAACATTGACATTTAAGCAATGGAACACATGAATAGTATCTAAAATGCCACACCTATCTTATTGCAACTTGATGGTGTAATTGAAAACACTTGTTAACTGTTTCATGAACAGAAACCTCACTTAAACTACGTGAAACACTGGACTCTACCCCGTGTTCCAGGAAGCACTGCATTGCATATGTAATTATTTGGTAGGGACTGACTTCATCTGAAATGTAGTATAAAGACAAGATACTCCTCTTAAGTTTCCCAAGTCTGCCCTAGCTCCAACAAAAGCCAGCAGCAGCTTTTCCTAACTCTAAGAGGACCTAGACAAGCTCCATGACTTGCAGAAAGAAACACTACACACCAAGACTTGTCAGGACATTATGTTGAGCTACTGTAACACAGAAACTCAGATGCTGTGGAATAATGCTCCTACTTTTCTCACTAGTACATTGCTTTGACTACTTTGTATTTTCTGCTTGCTGCTGGAGCAAAGGTAGACCAATAACATTTTTGCCACTCCATCAGACAAACAGGTTAATAACAGCTCCTGCAGTTAATTGTGAACAGGTCAGTAGGTTACTAGGTAATTAGTCCAGAGCATCTCAGGAACCAAAACCCCAAAGTACTTCTGAAGAACATGGCAGGAAGTAATTATAATGGATCTGCATAAATAACCAGAAAGATACTAGGAGAGCTTTCCTGAGCACAAGCCCTCCTTGTGCAGTGATGTTACAAAGCTAACATCCTTCTGGAGGCAAGGCCTGCATTTGGGACTACAATTCCAGGCACAGAACGTATACCATCCTCTATTCTATAAGGGAAACAGTGATCCTTGAGCTAATTCCTTTACAAATTTATTGTCTAGCTGTTTCTGATTTAACATAGAGAATGAGAAAATAGGATTAATTAATTTTATTTAAAACACCTGAAAAATGCTTTGTGGACACAATGATAAACAAGCAGAATCACTAAGCCATCTAAGACTAATTGTGTGGCTTTCTGTTAGAGGAAAGTTTTGCTCTTTGCACTATTGAGTGTTTTGACAGCTGCAAAAACTTTTGGAACATATTTCATTTGTAGACAGGCAGAGGGAGAGGGGGCAGATCTGATTTATTCCAAGCAGATGTAAATCAGACAATACAGCAGTTGGTCCTCAATTTGTCTGAAACAAATTGAAGCCTCCTCTTCTGCATACAAATAACAAAATCCAGATTTCTCAAAACATAGGCCTTCAGAAGTAAATCCCTAAAGAGGCTATCTGCTATTTAAGAATTAAAAAATATTGTGCAAAACTAACCCTAACATGAATTATAGATAAATCTGGGTAGTTAAAAAAACCAAACAACCTAAGCAACACCCACTGCAGCAAGTGAAACACCTTCTCAATATTTCTAAGTCACTAAAAACCCCCCACATAATGTATTTGCCAAAGTGAAAATGTTTTGTACAAAGCAAGTAGTAAAATAGATGCAGTTGGCAACTCCTACTTGTTTTACTAAGCCATTGCTATTCTCAGGAATAACTATTGTTTAACTGGAAGAAGAAATCATCAAGCAAATGGAGTGACTGCCTCAGTAAAGTGAGGAACACATGTCTTAGGCAAGAGCATTAAAACATATTCTTGCTTACTTGCAAGATCCTCCTGTTACAATAGCAGCAACACAGTACTTCACATGCAAACTCGGAATATTCATTGGATGTGGTCTCTTTAGGTTTTTTGTGCTTTTGTGACAAACAGCTCCACAAATTCCCAGGTTTGTGCACTGTGTCAGTGGCTGGCTGGGTGTCAAGGGTGAGATCAAATATTTCAGACACCTTCACTAACACACTTAACCCCCACATGACTTTGTGTGCCCTTTCCAAAGCAATCACTAGCCCAGAGAAGATCAGAGTTCCCATTCATCAACAGTGCTCAGAGCCAAAGGTCTAAAATGCATCACTGGAGTAACAATCCCAGTAAAAGCTAATTTCATGTCACAGGCAAAAATAAGTACCAAGCAAGCTAGACAATCTCTAGGTCATAAAAGGGAGGAAGACACAGCTGGAAAGCTATAGATATCTGCGAGAAAAGAACACACCTCATACACAGGGAGCAGTCCAAATCTGATGGATCCACAACTTCAAATGGAATATGTTGTCCACTACTATTTTCCCTAATATCAACTATGTCTATCAATAAGAAAAAAAAAAAACAAACATGTAATTGAGCAGAACCATGCAAGCACAATGCCACCTCATGTATTTACACCAGCATCTGATATTTAAATGTCTGTTGCATATACTTGTAAATTACTGAACCATGAAGCATCATTACAGTAATTTCTAGGCAAATTTTCAAATTCAGCCTTGGCACAAATCAGCACATCTCCCCTTAATTTTGGTCACATTATACCCACTTACAGAGCGATCAATCTGGCCTTGCATTGACAATCAATGTCAAAACATTCTTTGTTAGTACTGAAAGTCTAAAGTGAGACAAATTCTTCTCTCATGCCATTGTAAATACATCCCACAGCATAAAAACAAGGCCAGATACCAAGAACAAATAGAGTTTGTACTTTTAAATTTTTAAAATTATTATAGAAAGTGCTAAGACCATGTGCAACACTGATGTTCTTTAAAAGACTCAGAACTCTGCTGAGAAAAGCACGACCCAACCTTCTTTGCCCCTATTTAGACTTTTTCTCTCTACACACAGTAAAACTTCCACAACATGCATGCCTTGATTAGGCAAAAGAGAAAATACAAAAGGCAAAGTGTAATTTGGTCCCTCTTTGTCTGAATCTTTGTTCCATGGGTGGCATGCCACGGAACCTGTCCTGTAATTAAACATACCTTTCTTCATGAGTTTGCAGGGCACCTCAGCATTTCGCATCTCCTCTGAGCAGCACTTCCTTTTCAGGAGGCTGCATTTCTCAGAGAGGAGAAAAGTAGACTCTGGCATGGAGGTGAATTTGTTCTCCTCCTCCGAGCAGTCCTTTTTGCTCTCTGTAATTTGTATAGATTTCCTCAAACTACCAGAAGTAGTTACATTTGGTTCCTCTTGAATGGAAAAACCTTTTTTCTGTTCCACATTGACCTGTGTGAAGAGAGGACTGACATTAGATCAATCTTCCAACAACTTGGTAAGGAAAAAACTCAACCTGTCAAAAATCTTTTATATTATAGATCACCAGGAGGGACATTGTAGGTCAAGAAGCAAGAGTTTGAGAATTGCTAATCCTAATTAAAAAAACTTAAACCCCAAAAAGCAAGCAACCAACAAACTTGATTTCCCTTCCCCACCATTGAGGGATTTTAGACCTTTTGTGTGGCTTTAAAGTTCAAAGGTTGTGAAACTGGACTCAGGCAGAAACGTGGCTAGACTTCCTGTTAAATATATTGTTATCACTGAACCTATGGGAAAATGCATATTATTTACATCATGTTGATGGTATCAACCAACAGAAAAACCAAAACAATTAAATTAATTTTAAGGAAGCAGTAAAAACACAAAAAAAAAATTATAAGAGAGAAAATGCCCAGAGCCTCCTCTTGCAAGGCAGATTCCTTTCTCAGAGGATAAACCATTCAGGGTTTATCCTACTACAGCCACAGGACATCCTGTGAGCAGCCACTGCACAGGACATCACCTGTCAGCTTTGTAACATCACCTCCCTGCAAGGACCCGAAAACAGACACTGCAGATTGTGATGTGTAACATGCAGAAAGATGAGTGGGCTGTCCCTTGAATGGCTTTGTGAAAGTCATGCAAAAGGGTTTCTTGTCAGAATATCCTAACAGCCTTTCCATGAGGCAATGTCACTGACTGTTTCTTATCAGTCTCAACAAGACAGCTCAATACCTCTACCTCTGTTTGTAAGGACTAGCCAAGTTTTCTCCTAAATATACAATATATGCAAACCCATCCCAAAGTTCAGGTCCCAGTGAAGCAGAAGTGATCCTTACCAACCTATCAATGTAAACTTCCGCAGCCCTTTACAAAACTACAGCTTTTGTCATGACATTATTTTGTTATGAATATATGAAGCAAGTTATTTTAATTAAATTAATTAAGTAATGAAGTAGCTACCATATATTATGTAGCCCTCCAATAGCCTGTAAGCATTGCACAGACTGAGTATAGAATGACTTCATTACTGGCATCACCAGCTATAGCTCAAGGTGAAGCTCTAGAGTTTAGCATTTTCACAGCTAAATCCAATCTACAGAAGCCCCTTTCCACTACCAACTACTTGAAAGACCTAAAGACAATTACAGGAGTAGAACCCACTCATTTATGACATAAAATTTATCAGAACAGAGGACTTCTATTAAAGAAAAAAGTCAAATAGGAGACTTCAGTAAGTTAAGACTGTTTTGCATGTTCTGAAACTCGGTTAAAAATTGAGAAAATGTATCCTCCTGTCTTCCAGAGGCAAAACGGATAGAAGGCTTCCCAATGTGAACACAAAACACACAACAAATTAAGAACCACACATCAGACTTGATCTTTACCTTGAGCAACCTTTGTAGGTTATGGCTGGTGCCTCCAGATCCCACTGAATTTAGGAGATTCCCCTTTAATCTAGAGTGATGTGACAACAGCTGCAGGATATCGGGTAAGTGTTCCTGAGCATTTCCCGGGATCAGTGAAAACAAACTAAGTAGAAGCTGTGATATAAAACAGAACACTTCACTGCTTAGTTCCTTCCTTGCAACCTCTAAATGAAAAAGTAAGGGAATAGCTGAAAGAAGCATCCAAAATTTTGTTAAAACCGTTTAAAGAGCCCTTTAAACTAGGGTAAGAACAAAAAGTGCAAGAGCTAATGCAATACAGGCCAAACAGACAGCAAGAAATATTTTCAGAGTTAAACAAGCCCACAGAGTTATTAACCATTCTCTGTGATGTGACACACACGGCTTAGTCCTCTTTGTCCTGCAGTTCAGGGCTCACCAAAAATTATTAACATCTTTCTTAAAAGTTTTTGAGTTGTTGTTGTTGTTTTTTTTTTTTTTTTTTTGCTGCACATCACCTTTCAGTGGAGTTTACTAGTACAGAAAGCACTCATCTCACAGGCTTAATCCAAGATCAGTTGGGTAAATGTGTCTGATATTGTAAACTGTAGCTATTTTTAATTCACTTATGTGAGAATAGAAAAAAGGTAGGCAGTAGAAAAATGCCATTTTTTCATTTGCTCTAGGAAAATAAGTAAATCTGTTTCAAGTAGCAGCTTGGAGCCTCTTGTATGGCATAGATTATCAGATGAATATTTAAGGAAAGAAACAGACCTGAATAGAAGATTCACACTTCAAAAACTAATTTCAACATACTACTGAGGTGATCCTGCTGATGCCTGAGGAAGCCACATGACAGCTGAGATTTCTATTTAAAGCCAAAAAGGATTTCACAGGATCGCACTATGTCCAAACTAACACAGGCAGACAATTAATACAAGCAGAACATCATAACTGCACCCAAGGAATTTGGTAAAATGTAGTATGTCACTGTTATGTGAACAGCCTTGGAAATGACCCAGTAAAATATTGCATCATGGATGAGCTCTGTGTCTGATGAGTGCATGAGTAATTCTTTCAGTCATAAGAAGTCTAGTTTTTCTCAGAACCGTACTGCTCAGAAATTAAATGTCTTGGAAACAGCTATTTGGAGTCAGAATTTAGAAACATATCTGTTTGTTTCTGGTCTTTTTGCTCTAGTGCACAGAAAGTCTTCCAGCATGACTGTGAGCACCAATCATGACATAATGACAATGAAAGACTGCATGGAACCCACTGGGGAAAAAAGCAAACAAAACCCTCAAACATCAGTGACAAAAAAATCCTCAGAGGCTGAAGTCTCAACCATATATAAAATGAGATAGAATTTTGATTTCACTACAACCATTCAGGTTATACTCTGTTACTTTTGTGAATAGAGTTTTACTATAAGAATTCTACTGTGCTTAGAAAGCCTTATTTGCTACAGAACATAGAAACCCTAATGTTCCCATCCCACCAGTGATTGAGAATGGCATAAATACACTGCCACAGTTGTATTTTTATTGCCATAAGTAATCACTGCAACACTGAGCTTTTTAACTATGGCAACAACAAAAAAATTATTAAATGTCAAAATACTGATTTACAGGCTATCAGAGATTTGAGGGGTGGGAAAAACAGCAGTATTCACAAAAGCCATATAAGAATTCACATACATTGTAGGTTGCATCTGAGTAAAGCCTCACTGCACGGCCATTTTTTTGCTTATTTAGCATTAATTATTAGCAACTCTAAAAACTATTTTAAAACTGCTCTTCCTTTGTCGACTGCTTCCTCTTTCACACCTCCTGCACACACTGACACTCGGGCAGCATGACTGGCAGTAGGAAGAAAGCTGCTGCTCCCAAGTGGAGTTTGATGAGTGCTGCGTGTTGTGCTCTGCCAGTCACTGGCCTGATACATCATTCAATAGCAACTCCCCCTCTTCTGCACTCCAGCACTGGGAATAGAATTCCAAGATAGGAATCAATTAGAAATTTGAGAATCACAATAGTCTGTGGGGGGCAATTATTAACAATTCAGTTTTCCTTCAAATTTTTTGATGCTAACACCGTAACTGTTTCCACTGAATGGCTGCTGAGTATATTTTCTTGCTACCTTCCCATCTTCAGATCAGCAATACATGACTCAAATGTGAACAACAGTCTGGATGTGTATCTCCATCCAGCTCTCTGCAGTAATGAGGAAAAGGAAAAAATCATATCCTCCTTTATGAGAGGCCCCTGAAAACAACTGTGCAGTTCCAGGTGATTTGGTGAACTCACCTTTTGTGCCTCAGACTTGGCTGTCTTGTTCCCAGTATCTAGAGCAAGGCAGAATAGAAACTCCCTTAAAGCTTCTTCTGTTTTCCCCAGATTAGCTAATGCTTGTCCTTTTCTTAGGTGACCCTGCAAGGAAACATATCCACAGCTGCAGCTTTTGTCAAGAGAGCATGCAATAAAACCACAGTGAAAATACAGAAGACCTTTCTGAAGAAGGAAAAATTAGACAGGAAAAATCACTATAACCATGTCTTACACCTAGACACCACCAGTGCCTGAGATTCTAAACACAACAGTCCTGAAAACTACAAGCATAAACAGGATATTCTTCCACTTATGCAAGTATGAGTCTCACAGCACCTGAGCCCAACTGATATTGGAAACATCTACTTCCCCTACATCCACCTTCTAAAACAGTAATTTTGTCATTAGCATTCAATTTTTAGAGAGTTCACAAAACTGATATTCATCCAAGTCAAAGATAAGAGTCGTAGCTCATTCTCCAGGACTAGCACTATCTTTCTTCACCCCAGGAAGCTCAAGAATCTAATAGTTAAATGTCTGTAAATTGCAGGAATCCAAGAAGTTACAGGACGTAAAGCCTCCCTCAGATTCCACTGTCTGACCATTGTAACCATTTCAGGGCACTATCAAGGCTTTAAAAAAGTACAGCTGAAGTCAGAACTTACTTTCAACCAGTATGGCTGGAGCCTGCATGCTGTTTCTGCATCGTGCAATGCATCTTCACAAGCTTTCAAAGTGGAGTTAATCTGGGACCGGTTGCTATATAGTAAGTGGTCATTTGGAGCTGTAGGAAATAGAAAAAGTGGTTGATTAGGTAAAAAGAAATAAGTTACATAAGCTTTGTTCCTAATTTTTAAATTTTTTTAAAAACACATGTGCAACATCTCCAAGTTGCACAAACCCACAGAACATCCAGTTTCTAAATAACTATGTACTAAATTAAATCTGGAAATCTCTTTGGGCAACTCTAGACAAAACGCCAGCTATGTCTTATATAACTGCAGAGAACATTGCATAAATAAATGCTGAGACACTCACACAATAAATTACCAGCACTGGCTGAGGATCAGATGGTTGGTAGAAACACACAGGAGGCATTTAAGACAGCAGGAGGAATGCTGTCATACTGTAGGGAGGAGTTTCAAAATTGGTAGCATCAGAGTTTTTAAGTGATAAATAAGGGTCTTTTCATGCCACAGCTCAAAACATACGAAAATAAGGAGCAGCAAGAAGAATCACGTAGCGTTACAATGATCACCGAGTTACACCCACTGCAGCATTGAGACACACCGTGTGCTGGGGGCAGGCTGGGCTCTTCGGAACATTTTCATTTCCGTGAAACGCTCCACTATAATTCCGTGCCTTTAACTTCTACACAGTACTTGCAGCGTGACTCACTTTTCCTCAAAGTGATGAAAAGGACCGCATCAAAAGTTCTCCCTGCGCAGCCCCGCAGGCGCTTCCCGGCGATGGGGAGGGAGCGCGGGGCCGCCGGGGGTGCGGGACACGCCCGCCGCCCGGACACGCATCCCCGGCGCTGCCTTCGCCTCGGCTGCGAGCGGCTGCTCCGCGCACCGGGGCGGCCGGCGGGGATCCCCCGCGCCCGCAGCCCGGCCCGGGGCGCGGCGGGATGCCCGGGGCGCGGCGCTCCGCTCCCCGCGGGCTCCGCCGGTTACACAACGGCGCCGGCCGGGGGGAGCCCCGCCGGACCGCAGGCTCGGGCTTACGCAACCGCTGCTCTCCTGACCCAGTTTCACCGCGGGCCGGAGAGCCGAGACCCCTCCTTGGGGCTCCCCTCCGGGCTCTCCGGACGCCCGCCCCAGGACCCGGCGGCGAGCGGGAGCGCGGCCCCGGCGCACTCCCGGACACCGGGGTATCCCCGGCCGAGCGCCGGGCTCGGCGGGACGAGAGGAGGCCGGCAGCGAGCCCCGGGCGGCGGAAAGTTATCTCTCCCCCGGCGCGGAGCCGGGGACCAGCACCGGGGAGAGGGAGCCCTTACCTAGGCTGACCGCTTCGTTGTACTTCTGCAGGGCGGCTTGGAGTTTCTTCTCCTTGTAGAGGAGGTTCCCTTCGTGCCGGAGCTGCGAAGCCTTCACTTGGCAGGGGAACCACTTGGTCAGCAGGTTGCTGAGGATGACATTGACCCGCAGGAGCTGCCCGGCCGCCGCGCCGCCCGCCTCCTTGCACAGGACGCAGCGGGGCTCGGGCGCCCGGTCCCTCTCCAGGCACTTTTTGCAGAACGTGTGTCCGCAAGGCAAGGAAACGGGCTCGAAAAGGAAGCCCTGGCATTTGCGGCACCTGAAGACGTCCCACTCGCGGGGTGCCGCGGGCTGGCCGGCGGCGGGCAGTCCCTCTTTGATCCGGACGCTCTGCGCCAGGCACTCCACCAGCTTCTCCAGCTGCTCGGCGCGCAGCTGCTGGTGGCGGGACGCCAGCTGGTACAGCGGCAGCGCCTCGTGCAGCCGCCCGCCGAAGGCCAGCGCGTCCGCCCGCCCGAGCAGCACCTGCCACTCGGGCCCCAGGCCGCCGCCCGGCGCCTCCAAGTTCTGCGCCTGCAGAGCCCCGGCCGCCAGCTGCAGCACCAGCTGGGGCTCGGGGCGCGGCGGCAGGTGCGAGCCCATGGCGGCGGCGCTGGCGCTAGCGCGGCGGGCGGCGCGGGACGCCGGGCGGCACGGGCGCGGCGCGGCCCCGCCGGGCCATGGTGGTGCTGCCGCCCCGCGCCGGGAGCGCCCCGCGCCGCCGCCGCCGCTTATATAGGGGCGGGCACGTGACGGCGGCGGCGGCGCTCATTGGGCAGCGCCCGCAGGTTGTTACAAAACCAGGCGGTTTTGTAACGCGCCGGGCCCGGCCCGCGCCGGGCGGGGCCGCCCCTCACCGGCCCCGGGGCTCGCCGGGCCCGGGAGGGCTCCCCCGCACCCCCGTAGGGCTCCCCCGCACCCCCGTGGGGCTCCCCCGGACACCCCGTCCCGCGGCGCTCAAACCCGCCTGCAGCTGAGGCGCCGGGCTGTGGAGCGCTGCTCGCCCGGCGCACCGGGCGCGGAGTTCGGTCGGACCCGCTACTCCGCACGGGCGCCTCGGTGAGACACGGAATTCGCTCCAGGGCTCGGTGCTTTGGTACCTCCGGTAATGCGAAAGAAACGTGGGTTCGAAGTGATTTTGAAAACCGAGAATGCCATTTCCTGCTAGAACTGGGATCGCGAAGCTTTGTAGCTACACAGTTAATCATCCTCTTTAAAGGAAGCTACGTAGTAGTGAAGCTATTTTAATGTCAGGTGCTCCTGGTTTTAGAACAACTAAGGAAAACATTTTTGTGTTTATTTAGTTTTTCAGTGTGGCATGCTGCACAGCTCTACCTGTCCGTGCCTAGATTTAGATGAAAAGCACATGCCTTCTGATGTATCTTTGGTTTATTTAAGAGCAGCTCTGTTGACCGTTTCAATCTGCATGTTCCCACCAATTCTTGTTAGATGAGACAGTTGCACTAGTTGTGTAACTGTCTGTGCTAAATGTAGTCTAGGGAGAAAAATCACCTGTGCTACTACAGAAAAGAAGCTGTTCTAAAAGAAGTTGTGTAATGCTTTTTGTTTGCAGCTTTATGCATATTTACAGTTACCAGAAATGTCCACGTTATGTATACACACAATCACACTCTAAAAATACAGAGCGCTTTTCACACTGTCTTAAAATCCACTGCAGAATTTGAAATTTCTGATGATATCCTATTACTGATATAATCAGCCTCCTCACAAAGCTCAGAAGAGGGGATGAAAGAATTAATTTCCATTTTCTTACTTGCAGAAGTGTCTGGACTCCCCAGTTTAGACTGCATGAACTAAGCAGGTGTTAAGGGACAAGCCCTGCCTGTGGAGCTTGAATGGACAGGAGAAAAGATGAAAGAAAGGAGAGACAACCTGAGTTTTGCAAGACCTTGTTTAGGGAGAATACTTGAGAAAATTCAGATTACCCTAAATTTAAAGTGAAAAATTAGTTTAAAGCTGCTTAAAATCTGAATTTTAACTTTTAATGATACACACTAATTGTGATGTTTGTGTCTGTGTGTAGGCAACATTATGTTTATACAGAAAATCAGATATGTACCTGGGAACAGAAGCCAGCCATCAGACCCTTCAATTGTCTTTTGATTCCTATGATGTGAAGACATTTTGCATCTGCCAAAAATCTGGTCCTTTTCTCTAGGGTTCTTGAATCTTTAAAAAAGAATAAAGAAAAGGTTTAACATCTAACGGCTGTTTTCAAGCAAGCCTTTAATTAGAAAAAGAATTTAATAAGCACTGATTTCAGTACTTCTTTCTGCCATCATTTAAATCAGACAATAATCCAAAGTATGGCACAGGCTGCCAGCAAGTAAACCAAAGAAAGGTGTGACAACTGAAGCACTTAAAATTTCAGTTAAGCAGTGCTTCAGAGGAGTTAGAAAGAATGAGCATTTGTGCTCTGGAGTGTGGGGTTTTCCCTCCAGGCTCCAGCTTGCTAACATAGACTTCTTGTTTTCCAAACTTCCATGAAAGAAAATCTCATGCTATTAAAGAACAAAACCCTTAAGAAAAAGAAGAAAAATGCTTTCTTGTAGCCTTGAGGTCGGCAGTTGTCTCTATTGCAAAACTATAGTCTCGGCAACCCCTCAGTGTGTTATTTTATAACCATTGTCCTGAAAACCACTATGAGTCAAAGCCTATTCAAGCGAGGGAAAGTGACATAACCACTGGTTACCAGTAGCAATGCAGTGACAATCTCTATCAGAGATACGCCACCAGTATTTACATAGTTACATAGCAGACACTTAAAGAGATAACTCTTGGTATAAAGGGAGGGTTTCTAGCAGAACATGAATTCAAGATAGGGAAGGGAATAGATTTATCATAGGAAATGCAATCAGCAATTTGTGCTCTGCAAGGAACTTCCACATTTCCTATTCTCAATGTATGAAAGGATTTGCAGAGCTGGCTGGCAGTCTGAGCACTCCGGACTGAAAGGAGTCTCAAAAAGGCACTGGGAAATGCACTTCTGGGAATTCTCTTCTACCACCAGGACATGGCTGAAACATTTCAAGGGAAAAGTGCAGCTGTGCTTATGAACTACTCCCTGTGGTGGGAGCTGTGTGCTTAGGAGGGTTCAGAACACAGACCTGACCTTATGACAGATGGCCCATGGGCAGCAACTCTGTGACCCTCTTTTTCAGGGGAGAAACCAGCTGGCTCTGCCTCTCCTAGTTCCTGGTATGCGTGGTGTTTGGTAAATGTTAGTACTCGGTGGGGTGTGACAGGTACAGAGTGAGCCGTACAGTCACTAACAGCAAAATACTTTAAAGCCAAGATACTAATTTACTGTTCACTAAAAGTCAAACAACTACTAAATATTTGATTCTGACATCAGGCCTGGCTCTGCAGAGACTTTTTTAGCAAAAACAGCTGTGTGAATTGATCATACATAATCTAGATATGCTGGGGTGTTTTTATATAACACATCCTGAAAGCATAGAGTTTTCATACATTCATGCATATATTCATGGACTTGGAGCAGCAGTAGGTCATGAGGTGTACTTCATTAGAAGGCAAAAGGAAAAAAGAAAGGCAAAAAAGCACCCTCCTGCCTACCTGCATTGTTCATGAGATCAAGAACAGATTTATCTTTTACTTAAACAGAAAAAGTTAAAGTGAGGAGGTGACTCACTCTGCAAAAGCACATCTCCCTTGTATGATTTTTCTGCAAAAGGAGGTTTAATTTCTTCCTTTTAATGACAATGAGCACAATACCGATCTTCCTCCAGCAGTTAATGGCTGGCATAACAGGCAGCATGAGAGCATGACTACATTCTTCAGCCTTCTTCTGAATCCATAAACTGCATCAGGCTTTGAGTCCACAAAAGCCACCAATAAACCTGTGTCTCTCCCCTCTCAAACACAACTAACCCAAGTGTGAAATTCCAAACCACCAGTCACACTGACTGAACTCCTTCCCTAGAGGAAGAAAGGATGTGAAAAGTCACATCACAAATACAGCTGCAGATGGTTTTTTATTTCCATGTGCTCTGCACATGCTGTAATAGTCCATAGCAAGAACAGATTTTGACTGATGGCCTGTGCAGTTGAGGCAATTGCAAAAAAAGCACCAAGCAGGAAACCTGACCATTATGTCAGGAAGCTGCACTAACATATGCATAGGGAACAAGAGGAGAACATATGTGTGTTCTTCTGTGTTATTTTGCCACTGAACCTCTGAATGACTTTTGGCAACTATCTTTATCTCTTATTTTGCATTCTGCCTATGGTGACTACTCCTTCATGTACTGAGCATCCTTGCTATCATACACACATGATTTACTTTGAGAAACTATCAAGTCCAAGTTCTACTTTAAATCTGTTTAAAATTAATTGAAAGAAAGGACATGATGTTCTGTCCTCTATAAAGCAAATTAAAGAAAAGGTGTAATAGAGAAGTTTATGTTCATATGCCATAGTTAGAAAATCACTACAATTAAGACACAAATACATCCAGTTTAAATAAATGCAAGGCACCAATAGAGAGAGCAGTGCTTTCACAGGGTATTGTTTCTCAAGGAAAAATACCAACAGAGCCTGCAAAAGGTTCTTGTTACCTACTGGTCCATGAACTGTGTAATAAGAAAAACCCCAGTGCCCTTCCCACACAAACCCCTGCCTGCCTAATTGATGACTGGCTGGTGATCAGCTTGACAAGACCTCAGGACCGACAAAGCAAGCATCCCACTCAGGCTGTATCTCTCACTGTGTGATACTGAAAGGGGGATTCACAATGTGTCCTTGAAGCGTAACCAAACCTAGAGTGACTTGGATAAAATAATTTCTGTTCAGACATACCCAGATTCTTAGAAGGTTACTTTTGTTCTGCATTGAAATGAAAGCGCTACAGCCAGAAATTCAGTGAAATCCAAATTCCAGGGTATTTCAGTTGGGAAGAAAGAAGATATTTCAGCATTGAACAAATATTTAACAAGTAATTCATTATGAATTCTGAAAAACCTAACAATAATTTGAAGACTCTCATTTTAGCAAAACTGAGGAACTATCTGCTATGCACTCCCACTAGCCATTTTGGTGACAACTTCTGCTTTATTATTCTCTCAGGAGGAAAGGCCAAATTAATTCTTAATACAGAGGAGTGAACACCCCATGTTTTCAAGCACCCATCAGCATACATAGTAACCCTCCAATTACAGTAAACTGCTGCTTAATGTGTAGCAAGACAAATTCAAGACTAAGTGGTCCAGAGAACATAACAAATCCAGTCAAGAAGTCTTTCCAGTTCCGGAGAACATGAGCAAGTGTTGTTACAGAACCACCAAATGAATATATTCTGTCTAGAAGGTATTAATGGATTCCTCTGCTCTGACCAGTAAGAAATGACTTTGCAAATGAATGCCTTGAGCAACAGGTCATTTTACCTTGGTGCCGCAGAATTCCCTTTGTCTGAAATGACCTCGCTGAGGCTCAGCTGAGATACATTTTCAGTTTGAAACAAAGTAAACCTAAGCAGCCAGAAGGGAAATGTTGTAATGAGGAACACAAGGATCTATGTTTTGTTTCACAGTAAAATACAAGGAAGACGAACAAGTTCCATAGAGGAGTTAATGCAGTCT